TCCTGTTGGAAATCCGGGTTTACTGGATGGGAATTTCGGGTCATTGTCGACAGGAGCGATTCAGGACTCCGCGGGAAACAGAACCTGTGGTATCGTCGCGGAATTTCTGCTGGGAGAGTAAGCTAAAGAGATTTCATTTGCCTCTACCATGCCTTCGTTTTCGTGGCACGCATCGCGCCGTAGTTCCCACGATCCTGTGTGTTATGTGGCCTGTACGCACGACACCACGACACAGAATAAGGAGAGGACGAAGCGCCTACGCCTGAATATGCGGGCAGATACTTCTAATAATCATGGATCGAAAATGGGTATTATGGACCAATCGGTGCAGGAAATGAAGCGCAGGTTAGAGGACTCCTCTGGCCTGCCCCCCGTAGTCGCTGCATGGTAGGCCCACTGGATGCATTACAAATTCACGTATACCTCTAGGCCCATCGGGCCAAAAATTGTTGAATCAACATATATGCAAACGTTTTCAGGCAAGCAACTGTATTCGGTAGATGTATGCAGGCAGGCCTATCGCTTAACACAGTCCACGGGCTACCCCGGCGCATCGAGATCCACGTCGAGNATGTATGCAGGCAGGCCTATCGCTTAACACAGTCCACGGGCTACCCCGGCGCATCGAGATCCACGTCGAGTGCTGATAGTCCAGCGAGCAGGCGCAGCAAGTGCATGCAGTTAAGGACAAAAAGTCGCATGGCATCCAGAACCGCGAACCTCAGGAACTTAAAAACGCTACTGCATGCTGTTTCAATTTCTACTTCTACCTGCGGGGCAACAAAAGCGGGACGTCCGAGGTGCTCGAAAATGCCCACTCTTTCGCTGCATTGGTTGGGAATTTCAATGTGAGGGGTTGTAGTAGATTCCTCAGTAAGAAGTTCGTATTAGATCGAATACTCGACAAGACAATATTCGTTTCACGTGAACCAATTCAGCGGCAGTTCGCTAAGGCGAATTACCACACAGCCCTGCCCAGCGGGAATAACCCGCCAACGGCAGCAATCTGAGGCGCGCTGGCATCCCGGGGACAGGCGACTGCGTAATGCCTGGCACTACCAAGTTATTAAAGTAACTTATTCTAATAGATTTCGCTCCTGAAATTTCCCAAAATTCCGCAGTGCTAGCCCAGGAATGTCCGATGATGCTCAAATCCCCCTTCCCGGAACGGCCCCCGACTGGAATGCCCTGCGGTTCAGCATCGCAGGCCCAAAAACCCTGAAGTTTCTGAGATTGATGCACCCTGTATTATTGATATAACAATAAGAATTTAGCCCCGTGGTAATAGTAAGAGCAGCTGCCGCTGTAGAATCAAAGCGAATGGAACCAACGTACACCCACGACGCGTTCTAGCCTAGAGGGGAGCACTAGACAGGCAAGTCCAATGGAATGCGAAGGGATCACGACAATAACGACTCGTAACCTTAAAGCGGAAAAAAATATGCTGGTTTTTCTTTGGGGTTATGCTGGTAATTCAGACGGAGAATAGATCTCCAAGGCTGCCTTGGGATGGCTGGATCGCGGGGTCTTTCTGTNGCTGGTAATTCAGACGGAGAATAGATCTCCAAGGCTGCCTTGGGATGGCTGGATCGCGGGGTCTTTCTGTTGTCAGCACTGGTGCGCGCAACGCTCGCTGGCCAGGCCTGCACACTTGAATCTTCGCGATACTTTTGTTGAGACGAATAGGTAAAAATATAGTTTGTGGAGGGCTTTAGAACTGTGAAAGTCTTCCACAGCATGTTGGAGAGCAGCGGCGACGCACACTTCAGTGTAGTCGTCGCAAAGGCGCACAGACACGAACTTGTGCATTTTAAAGTTAAGCGACTCTATGAAATCGTAGGACTTGCATCAAATCATTCGCCCGTGGCTATGCGCTGGGCAACCGTACGTGTTACGCGTGTCATCGGCCCGAGTCAAGGAGCAGCGTGAGCTGCAGGAAACATTCAATTAAATATTCCCAAATTTAGCTGGCCAAATGCAGCTGACATCTCCCCCAGTTTTTAGAAGTCCATAGACAGCCGATACTTTGCCGCGCAGTGCATGGAGAAGGCATGCACAGAAAGACATGGGCAAGTAGATGAGCATTGTAACATGCTCCATCTGAAGTTGGAGCAAGCATTCTTGATTACGCGCAGACTGGATACTAGGGGCCCCGGAGACACTTAAAATTGACTAGTGTTAGTGCATGCACCAAAGGGGAGTTTGGGTTCACTGGTGTCTGTTTTCCTTCCACCTTTGCATTTTCCTTGCAGCAGGAGTTGCATGAAGATGTGCTGCAACCCACGACAGGCTGCCTCCTGCCAACACAAACTGCATGCGTTTGTGCCAGAGTGGGCAAACTCACACGAGCGCTGTGAACAACTTCACGTGCCCAAATGCAGAAGGTCGCACGAGCAAACAATTCCTAAATGCTTCCCTGGACCCCAGCAGCCAGTCTGGACGCAAGCAAAAATGCATGGTCCAACTTCAGACGGACCATGCTACAATGCTCATTGATTTGCCTTTGCCTTCCGGCGCATACCGTCTACTTGCGCCGCGCGGTGGAGCAGCGACAGGCTTAGGCTTTCTAGCGGAAGCTTAAAATAGTTCCTCGCCAGTCACTGCCTCTGAATTNGAGCAGCGACAGGCTTAGGCTTTCTAGCGGAAGCTTAAAATAGTTCCTCGCCAGTCACTGCCTCTGAATTCACAATAGGATTAATAGGCTTCAACCGTTTGGAGTTCCGACTAGTACTTCTCACACAGAACCGTCAAAATTGTCGTGGAACAAGAAACCACCACCCTGATTTTTCGATGCAGTGGCCGAGGGTGCACGATAAATAATGCACCATAATTTGTAAGATATTTCATAAATATTTGCATCATCAGTTAAGCAGCTCTGTGCTCAGTGCACCCTTTTCGCCAAAAGAGATTGGACTCCTAGCACTGGCTAGCACAGAAGCGACTTCAATCTGAGTCAAGGCGGGCGAATCTCTTTATGCGTTATCGACTACTTGGGAAATCAAAGTAACTACTGGCTTTTGCCTGCCTAGAGGCATAAATGGGGTCAAACCGCATTCAACTAGCGGGTGACACGCCGGGAAGGAAGCCAAAGGCTCCTTCTGAAGCAGCCCCAGGCACTGCGAAGATCAACAGCAGTTCCAGACAAGCCAGCTACAGTAGCATACATAGCGCACATATATTATTGATCTCTTGGGTAGCCTTCAGATAACTTTCGGAATTCAGAGAAGATTTAGCGCGTTGCATGCAAGTAGGCCAATCCGTAAATATACAGTCGACCACTTAGATGTAAGCGCTATAGTAGTTTTCTTCCTCGTTCGTCGGGCGTGCGGACGTCAGACTGAGGTTTAGGGTAACTATTAGAAGAAGAGAACTCCTTGTCATCCTGTATCCAGAGCTTCCACTGCGGGTTCCCCAACTGGGTCTCTGCGTTCGCCTCGGCAAGAATGGTCCTCTTCAGTTCAATTATCTCCCTAAAGTTTGGCCGCCTTCTTCCCTTATATATTGCCAGCGCAGAACTCAGGCGATTCACCAGCTGGTTCAAGAACGTTGCCCTTTGCGTCCTTGCAGCTTCAGGAAGGCGATAATCTGTGCGGAACTTCTGCGCAAACTCATTCCACCAGTTTCCGGTATCCATCTTTTCCCCGAGGAGCTCGATTGCGCAAACCAGGTAGTCAAATACCATAAACAAAGACGAGAGTTTCACAAGAAGGTAGCTGGTTGAATCCTTACATGGGCCTGCGAGCTTGTGTACTGCATAGTTCGCCAAGATCTCGGCTTCCGTCATGAGGGTCTCCACGTCTTGAGCCGTCAGCGAAGCCTTGGCAAATAAACTGCGCATTGTAGTGTATGCCTTCATTGGGTCATGCACCCATAACCCAAATGACAGTGCAAACTCCTTCCGGAAGCATCTGTGGATATGTTGCGGATTTATCACTGGCAGCCGGACAAAAGGGTGCAGACGAATGTCACCATCCTCAGGTGGTCCACCGCCTCCAGCACCGCCTGCCCGCACAGCCGTAGCAGAATCGGNCGAATGTCACCATCCTCAGGTGGTCCACCGCCTCCAGCACCGCCTGCCCGCACAGCCGTAGCAGAATCGGACCTCCCCACAGCATCCAAAGTAACGGCAAAGCCCTGTTCTCGGTGTTCACGCTGTTGCACTGCTTTTACTTGAATTGATGGCACTACACCCGCCTGAGCCACACCTGCAGTTGGCGTCCTAGGATCAACTCTGCCTTTACGCTCATTAGGAGCTGCCACAGAAACTGCACTAATGGAAGCTTCCGAAGTTGCCCCCCTCGTTGCGTGCCGTGATGTAGTGGACACAATCCTTTTCTGGAACCCTTCATCGTCGAGCCAGGCACCAGGAACCAGAGCATTTACACCGCTGTGAGCTCTGCCAAACAGTGAAGCAGCCGGAGGAATATCAGCTGCCTTTCCTTTATAAACTGCCGACGGACCTACTGGTGGTGCTGATGTGTCCCACTGAAGCCCTAACAGGTCTTCCAGCTTCGCCGTTTGTGATTGTTGCGCGCCTGAATCCCCCGGCAACCAGGCATCTGGGTCTAAGGCGCTGACAACACCGCCCACTGCTGCGAAACTGCGGCGTTGCCAAAACGCTCCAAACGACGCTCCTGAATGCGACGTCGACGGCGATGACTCATTAAGCCGAGGAATCTTCGGTGGAGGCGGCTGCGCTTCATCTTGCAACATCTGTGGAGCAACAGCGCGCATCCGTTCAAAATTCACCGCAGAATCGTATAGCATGGCGACGAGCCTAGACTTTGCCTCGCTCGCCTCCTCAACATACTCCGAAACAGCCGGATGAAGGCCTAGCTCCTGCTCTAAATCCAGACATTGCTCTAGGAGATCGGACCTGTCGTGAGCGTCTTCGGTATCCGAAAGTCTGCGTTGTACTGCTGCTCCGGAATTCAGTCTCCTTTGGCTAGTCCGACACAAAGCCAACAAAGTCGACACCGTCACAAGCGAAAGGATGGATGCCACGGCCCAAACTAAAAACTTACTGCGACGTGGCCGCGGTTGCAATAACCGGCGACNGAAAGGATGGATGCCACGGCCCAAACTAAAAACTTACTGCGACGTGGCCGCGGTTGCAATAACCGGCGACCGCGCCCGACCGTGAGCTGGTGTGAATAAGGCAGTGAAACAGGATCAAGGATCTGGAATGCATCGTTAGGGGGTCGGGGTATCAGGGTTGTCCACGATTGTTGGAGGTGCGCTGCGTGTGGTTGGTATCTTCCGGTCATAGTAGACGGGAGGGAATCGGCGCCCTGAAGAATCAGTTGGGTAGCCGTAGACTCACCGTTCTGCGAATATGGCGAGTAACTTTCACCTTTCTGTACCCTTCATGCATTTCCTGTACACGATTGACAACATACTTTCGATTACCCTCTGTCGGCAGCAGGATGTATGCAGGCATTCCGCGGAAGAAAACGCGGAGGGAAAGAGCACGTATGCCAGAATACCCTGCCAAACTTTCCAAAATACAAGTTGTAAGCGGTCCCTCTGAGGCATTCCGCGGGGAATGTGAACATTTGACAAGAAGAGTCACTCTCGGTCTCCGTTGCCGGTACTCGGCAGGCCCACTGGATGTTTAGTTCATTCGTCCATTCATTTCATCCCATTGCACCAAATATTGATACGTCATCATTTATGCACGAGGCCTCTGATCACTATATGTATTTAGGTAGTGCATTGAAGCAGCTTTATTCCTTGACACAGTCCAGAGACAGCCCCCCGGCATCGACTTCCGGCATCGACTGCTCCCGCAGCAACTGTGTAGAATTCAGGAGGAGCTCCACTGCAGCCAAAATCGTGCAGAACGGTTTAGATACAATTTCCCATTTTTCACTTATTTCCTGCAGCTGTGTTGGGTAAGAAATGTGGTCGGACGCCTTTAGGCGTTGCACCGCTTCTTGTGTACTCAGCCGTCTGCTACGGCATAAACCCTTTGAGTGCTAGCGAGTTCNAGGCGTTGCACCGCTTCTTGTGTACTCAGCCGTCTGCTACGGCATAAACCCTTTGAGTGCTAGCGAGTTCCCGAAGTGCCACGACACAGTGTTTCTTGCTAAGAACATGTTGGACATGAGCGTCCGTCAGATATCCGGAGAAAAGAACGCGCTGAAGTATAGTTTATGGGGAGCTTGGAACCTGTGTGCGCCGTGCACAGCATATTGGCGAGCAGATGCAGGCACATACTTCAGTCGAGTTGTATTAAAAACATACAAAAGCGGATTTTCAGCTTGTATGGGGAAGTTGCAACATGAAATTGTGGGACGATCACTAGCGCAGGATCTCCCTACAGAGCACCAGGAAGCTGCAGTTGTAACCAGTATCGTCGGCCCCAGAGGACGACCATTGTGAGCTACAAAAGAGTCACAATAGTTTAAACAGTAATTTTTCAGTAACACCAACATCGCCGTCAATATGTAGGAGTTCCGGCAAAGCCAACGGAAAGCTTTGGTCCGGTGCTGGGAGGAGGTGGCTGCTCGCCTTGTGAGTTGCAGCACACCTTGCTACAACTACTGCTGCGACCAAACCCCTGACGCAGACATACCCAAGCTGGCCCGTTCGATGCATGCGCTAACACCGTAGACAATTGATGAACACTTCACCGCCACTCAGTTGCCTGCCTGCACTCGAGCAGAAAATTCAGACAAACAATGCTACGAAGTTCATCTAGGTTGCCATATCCATTGTAACATGAGTTAGCGCAGAGTTAGCCCAGGAGCCTATCGACGGCTTTGGCATGCTGCGCGTAAGCGCCTGCAAACGTTATGCAAGTTCGTTACGAGGCAAAACATGCAGCAAAGGAAGCTTCCTTGAAGCTTCCTTTCGTGCACGCGTGGGAATGGCTTGCTCTGCCAGCCGCAGCGGGGTGCGCTGCAACCCCACTTCTGGCTGCCTCCC